GGTACAGATATCATAGTTAGCATGAGATGCAAAGTCCATAATATGCAACGTGCAAACTAGATGATATTGTCTGTTTGATCAGCAAAAAGTCATTGATAAGGTGTGTTAAGGAAAACCTTCAAGAATTGGTCTTAAAGGAAGTACTTAACAATAATTTCAGTGCAGGTCGACACATGAAAATGTGTACGGCTGAAGTCGTCAATGGTGATTGGGTATGGACTATGAACCCATCACTGAAAATTGATGCCGTTCACTTGTTATATAGTGAATTGAAGTCATCTGGAATGTGTTGTCAGTGGGAGAACATATTCGTATGGGTGCGGTCAGATTGGTGATAAAAACGTGCGCACGTATGGCCAAGTCATAATCAGACGTCGATCTATGAGGCAATTTCATAGATGAAAGTTGGCATGAAGCAAAATTTTGGAACCAAGGTGAAAAATGCTTAACTCAGGTTTATCATCTTACTATGGTGTGTTCAAGTGGGAGATGATGGAATAAAGAGTGACCACACCATAATTTGGTGTGACTCACTTCACTCAATCTTCTCTCTCTTGAATTGTATAGAACCTTCCCACAAGAATGTTGAAGCTATCTGTTGGTTAGTTAATGGTTTGAATTCAAACATCAATAGACACAACTTTGTGAACCATGGTGACTGTTGTTGTATGAAACAAATTCGAATATTATACCTATTCCCAAAGGTCACTTATTTGTATATAAATAAGTGACAGCAGGTTTGGAATTATATATAGATATGAACTAGAAGTTCTCCATTTTCTAACTTTCGGATAATCGATATTCTCGCGTGATAAACACCCACACGAGTATTTCGATCAATTGCCACTGTTAAGATTATCTTACAAAAACTAGTCTTCCCAATTTGTACCATAATAAACGATGATTGATTGATAAGGTGGGGGTGGGTCCCTTTGATAGGGATTTGATGATATTAATCGGTCAATATTGCCACGAATTGTATGAATGAGGAAAATGAGTGGGAGCACTAATTAGTGCCACCACTAATGATGTGACAGTAGATCCCATCCACTGCTATAGTGTTGTTGTCTCTGCTTTTTTTTTCTTTCTTTCTAAAAGGTGGATGCCAACACATTAGTGATGCTTTAGAGCACCACTTTTAGTGGTCTCTATCATTGTTGTATGAATAACCACAACGTTTGGTTTGGTGTGTCCACGTGGATAGTATGAAAGAGTAATTATTCGATAGTTTTAGAACATCGACCTACATCATTTATATTTAGACAAGTGTCTATAAGATAATGAATCTACTATTTTAACCAATAATATTCTAGTTAGAGTACCAACTTGATTTGTCTGATGAACGGATTATAATTTCTTCACCACTTACTGAAACTTCACGTGACGTTGCTCATTTTCCTTTTTTGGTAAACTACAAGGTAACGCCTGGTTCGGTGTGTCCACCTGGATCGTACGAAAGAGTAATTATTCGATAGTTTTAGAATATATTTCTACAATTTATATTTAGACGAGTATCTATAAGATAATGAAATCCACTCTTTTAACCAATAATAATCTAATTAGAGTACCAACTTGATTTGTCTGAAGAACATATTATAATTTCTCCACTTACTGAAACTTTCTCGTGACATTGCTCCTTTTCCTTTTTTTCGTAAATGAATAATACATTGTTTCTGTTGTACCTTAAAAAAAATAAAAAAAAATAATACAAAATAAAATGAGTAATGATAGGGACAAATTTTATATTTACAAATTTACTCACAATGATATAATATATATATATATATATTGTGTGTGTTATTTTCTGACCACACTACTAAATAGGTACTCAGCTAGAGAACACCGGCAAAATAAATTGCACCTGAACGACCTGTCAAAGAAAAAAAAGACTCCGGTGGTGGTTCTTCCACCTGGGGGCACTCCGACGATCAAGTCAATACTCAGTTTATCTCTCAAAGATAATAATTAGTGCTTAACTCATTAGCCAGAATACAAAAAGCGTACCTTAGACCCATAAGGGTGCCTTACTTTTATAGACAGCACTAACCTGATCCCTGTAGAAGCCTAGCTTCAATGGACTCAGACTCAATGCCTATATTGGACCCTCAACTAGATAGGGATAAACTCCCTAATAGCTTTATCTTTATCCAAACTGGCTAGGACTCTTGTCCTTTATCCAATCATCTCGGATTCCGATACCGCAAATAACCTCGGCCTAGTCGAGGTCATCTTGATACATGACCAAGCCACGTGGCACTTCGGATGACACGTCAGCGTCACATCGGCCACGTGCTGTCATTCACAAAGCATGTCTCCACAACTGCCCCCTAGGTTCTATTACCTCAGCATCCTGAGGTGATGGAACCTACATCGTTTGTCCATATAGCACGTTGGCTTACTCTAACCTTTATGGCCAATATCATTACATATCGGCTTAATATACCAAGACTCTGCAGTCCACTTGATCAATGGTTTAGAACTAAGAACCAAGCTCTTCAAGTTCTTTAACTAGGACCATTCCTCTAGCTGAGGTTCTTGCTTCATTAAATCAAGAGCTCCAAGAGTTCTATCTGCACATGAGCTGTCATGCACGGTTTTCTTAACCATTTATGTCACGCGTCCTTTTCCCATTGATTCGTACCTGACACGCGCCATCAGGTCGTGTTGCTTCTGCGCACGCTGCCTGACAGACATGTCGTCCAAGGCATATTATTATGGTTTTCCGCTTTCTCGCATTTTAACAAAATATTTCCCTCTCTCTCTGTCTCTTCACTTTACATTCTTGCATTCTTTCTGTGTTTCAAGATTTTCTGTCTCTTAATAAATCCTCTAGCTCCATTGTTGTTTTCATTGAGCACTCTACAACTGTACTCCGTTCATCTCCTCCGGAAAATCTTTCACCGTTCAGCTCCACTTATTTCCGTCGTCCAACTCTGGTGAACCTCAACTTCGGACCCAACTGATGAGTTCTTTGTTCTTTTTCAATTTTCAGTTTCAATCTTCCATGATTTTGAATACGTTTTCCCCTTTATCATCTGTCCATTTTTTGCTATTGAATTACTTGGGTGTAAAACATGCTTGTTTGCGATTCTGTGTTGTTCAATCTGTCTCTGGGTTTATATATGCACACACGAACTGTGCACATGATGATTTAGCAATTTTTGCCATTGTTCTTTGGTTTTTGCACGTCTGCATACGCTTACACAGTGTTCTTGACTTTCTGCTTGTTTCGTTGAGTTTGAATCATTGCTCTTTTCTATTTTTCTTGGTTATTTCCAGATTCTTGCCATCGATTCTCTGTTTCCGTATAGATTTGGGCTTAGGTTTTGATAAAGAAATCACATACTTAGGAAAATTGAAACAACTCCCCTAGATCTTTAAAAACCCTTGCCCCAGTTCCTGTTTAGGGTTTTAGCCAAGGTCCTTTAAACCCACATCAACCACTCTCCTCTGAAATCTTGCACCTTCCTCATTTAGCCGACATCATGGGTATGTTCAGGTGGAGGGTAGATACCCCAGAGAAACTTGAGTACTTTAGGAGAGAATTCTCCATCCCAGCCGATGTCCATCTTAGGTTGGCTGGGGAAGAGGACTCCATCATGCCTAATGGGGACTCTATGCCTTTCCCCATAGTTGCATTCATAGATTGTGGACTTAGGTTCCCTCTAGACACCCTTTTTTGACAAACCCTTCATTATTACAAGCTCAACCCGATGCAACTGACCATTAACTCCTATAGAGTCATTAATGGTATAATTGTTCTAACTAGCCGAGAAAATGCTAGGATAACACTAGTTGATATCCAATATTGTTATACCATATGTGGCTTGAAATCCGAAAAAGGCTACGTCTGTTACCTCAAGCCGAGATCCACAACCTACAAACTCATAGCCAACCTCCCAGACTCCAACAAAAGTGCTGAAGATGATTATTTAATCGTCTTGGGCAACTGGGAGTTCTCACTTGATGACGGTCTCCATCTCTATCCTTTGAGCCGAATAGTGTTTACAGAGAGTGATGGTAAGAACCAAGTGTCAACTTTTATGCTTTTAAGTCTTATCACTTTATTCCCCTTATATGTTCTAATGTCCGAATTTGTACTTGCAGCTCTCTCTCAGCGCCATCAAAAGATTTTCGCAAAACCTTCTTCTCCAGCAAAGACTTTAAGAGGCTGCTGGGCTTGCCAGTTGACCAACGCAAAGCCCCTCTGCTGCTTAACTACATTCCAACCTACAAATCCGCACTGCCCGACGTCCTTAAGAAGAACAAGTCTCTACCTTCAGCAACAACTCCCCTTGCCACTTCATCACCATGGCCTGACCAAGCCTCAACTTTTGATCCAGTGGAGTAGCCATCAACATCTGCTCCATAATTGATTCCTCCTGCCCAGTGCCAACGCTGACACCGAGCTCCAATCTCCGCTCCTACCGGCAGAACTAGTAGCCGAAAATGCCAATCCTCTGAGGCGTCGGCTTATGATCCAACAAACCCACCTACTGCACTGCCAACAATCCGCTTCAGTACCAAGGTCACTGTTGCCGCCACCGCCGAAGAAATAGGCCGTGCCAAGATCATTCCGGATTAGCCGACATCCGGGGGGTGGTGTCAGTCCACTCCTCCAGTCTTTCCCAATCATAGCCAAAACCCAAGGCAAAGAGGGTTAAAAGGGCCAAGGCCAATCCCAACGCCACTGAGATGGAGTTAGAGGACACAATAGCCATCTCAAAATTGGCTGAAGTAGAGAAGTTGGCAAAGCTTGCCGAGGCCGAGGCATCCGACCAACGATAATAAAAAAAACCGAGGTCTAGTGGGTCTTCTGATCCCTCTAAATTCGGGCCGACGTTCCCTAGAATCCATCTGTTATAGTCGGAGACCGACCACTTGTAGTCGGGGACAACGCACTCAACAACCTGGAAGTCGGTGCTGCTATCTCTACTGTTGTTCTGCTCCTTGTCGACATCAATCGGATAGCCGAACTATCGGAGTATGAAAATTACGAGATGATGATGCAGCATTGCGTCTTGGTAAGTCTCAATACTTGTAGCTTTTTATCTAACTTTTAAGTCTGGTTTTCATACTTAACTAACTTCCTTTGCATTCTTGCAGGCTATCCAGCAGGTTCACTCCCTTGCGGTCAAGACCGATGAGTTTAAAAAAGAACTGACCAAAAAGACCAAGGAGGTAGCAAAACTTCTTGCGCCACTTAATAAAGCCGAGGCCCGCATCGAAGATCTTCTTGATAAAGCCAAGGCTACCGAGCTAGCCCTGAAAACAGTCGAGGACCGTGCCGAGGTTGTGGAGAATGTCATCAAGGTTGCTCAGACCGAGGCAAAAGAGGCCAAAGAGAAAGAGACTGAAGCCCAAACCGAGCTTCAAACGGCATTGGCTACAAAGGAGGTTGAAATCAAGGCGGCCGACGAAAAGGCCTACACTAAGGGGGCGGCCGATGTACGTGACGAGTATAAAAAGCAAGTGAAGTAGGCATATAACAAGGGTTACACCCTTGGTTGGATGGTTTCCCTGAAGGAGTTGCCAACTCTGTGAGTAACGATTGTGTAAAGATATGTTCACAAATGATTATCTTCTGAACAACTGAACTGAACTGTACTGTTTTCTGAACTGATTACTGTTAACTGAATGAATGTATGTCCTATATTCTGAACTGTATTGTGGCATCCTTAGCACCTACTGTTTACTGTTACTGTGATAGAATTCTCTGTCGGTTTCCTTGTTGGAACCACTACTGTTACTGACTGATGGCCATCATTACTGCTCGGTCTTTTAAGACCTACTGTTTACTGTACTGTTATGCTAATGGGTATACCACATATGACTGTACTGACTGAAAGACTGAAATACTGTTTAAATGAACTGTTTTCATACTGTAAGGACATTCATTCTTAACCTCTTTACGCTTTATGTTATTCACTGGGCTTTAGCTCACTGCTCATATATATATGTAGGTGTACACGCACCAGACCGCGGCTAGAGGCGTCAGGGTAACTCCGGTTTTGTCAAGCCAGCCTATGTGCCTCACTGCGAGGTTCCGAGCCTATCGTGCTAAGGCTTAGGGGTGTTTTAGAATCCCCCTTCTGTATTGTCTCACTGTTTTGTATAGACCGAATGTTTACCATACTGTTATGCAGGGATTGAGTCCCTAGTCTGAATGATTGTAAATACTGTGCATATTGTTCTGTACTGGTTATGTATAAATGTATGAAAAGTCTTTTTGCATACAGACTGTCACAGCTCATTGGGCATTGTTTCTTTACTGTATTGGCTTCCGCCAGGCCCTGTACTCTGTTTTACTGTACTACTTTTCTGTAGGCCTTCGGTAATCTCAGATTACTGGCCGGTTACGGTGCTAAACTCATAGGGCCGGGTTTGGGTCGTGGCACGAGGTGTCCACATACGATCCAGCCAACCCCCCAACTGCACTTCCAGTGATCCATTTCGACACTAAGGTCACCGTTACCGTAGCTGCTGACGAGATGGGTAGTAAAAAGGCTGTAGCAGACGACCTTCTAGCCGACATCCCCAACATCGTCACCATACAATCTTCACCATTGCAATCTCAGCCAAAGCCAAAGCCAAAAAGGTTGAAGAAAGCCCAAACAAAGGCAACGGTAACTCAGATCGATTCTGAGGATACCTTGCCGCAAAAAATGCCTCTGCCGTCGAAAAGGGGCCTATAGAGGCTGCTCTCTCTGAATCGACCCGGTCAAATAAGCCGAGGTCAGAGTCTGTGACAACCTCGGGGTCCATGAAATCTGATGCCCCCTAGGCCCCTCCAATCACCATTGAGGACAAGCCAGATAGAGTCGGCGACAGCACGACTGACATTGAAGTCGGCGTTACCCTCTCTACTGCCTTGCTCCTTCCAAAAGACCTCGAACGTAATGCCGAGGTTAGCGAATATGAAAACTTCACTCTGATGTTGCAGCACTCCGTACAAGTAAGCCCCTAACACTTGGTACTTTTCATTTTTTGTTTTTCCATACTTGGAGTTTTATTAACTTTGGTTCTGTCCATTTCTTCTAGGTGATCCAGCACGCCCACTCCTTCGCGATGCAGGCTTTCGACATTAAGAAGGAGTTGGTCAACAAGACCAAGGAGGCTACTGGCTTGCTGAAGACCGTTAATAAGGCCGAGGCCAAGATGAAGACTTTGATAAGTCAGGCCAATGCAGCCAGGAAAGCTCAAGATGAGGCCAAGGAGAAGCAGGAGCTGCTAAGGCCGTTGCTAAGGTCCTTGAACTCGAGAAGAAAGAGGCCGTAGCAAAGACCGCCGAAGCCCAAGCCAAACTCATTGTTGCATTGGCCACAAAGGACGCCGAGATCAAAGCGGCGGACGAGAAAGCATCCGCCGAGGGGGCTGCCGACGTCCGTGAGGACTACAAGAAACAAGTGAAATAGGCATGCAACAAATGTTTCACCCTTGGTTGGATGGCTAGCTTAAAGGAGTTGGTTGTCCCTGAGGACTCAACTCTCTGAGATAACAGTCTCCTCTTTCTGCCATTCCCCCCCACTCCAAGCCAATCCAAGGACGAGGCTGAGTCCGAGGAAGATGCCGAGGACGACAAGTCTAAAAATACTGAAGCTGCTGGGGCCAAATCCCCAAATTTGAATGAGCAATTTTTAGACTTGACTCAGGATAAGGGGGACGAGGTCTCAAAAGAGGATGCCTTATGTGGGAAGATAATATCTGAGGCGCCTATCACCAAGAAGAGCCTCGACCAGACTCTTGAAGAGATCGATGTTGAGCTCGCGGCTGAGAAGGCTGCTGAGAAGAGTTCCCAAATGTCTTCTGAGAACCAAACCCTTCCAGCTGATGACGCCGAATAGTCCTGCTATTAACTCTTTCCTTGTACTTAGTAATTTTTTGAACAATGTTTTCAGTTTTCATATTTGGCCGACGTGCCACTTTTGTAATCAGAACAAGTAGTCTTTTTGTAGGCCTTTTCCTCTTTTAATGCAAGTATAACTTCTTCTTTGACTAAGTGTTTGAATGTTTGTCTTCCCTTTACTATCTTGTATGATTCCATACTTAGAATTTTTGGCATGTCTTCGAAGTACACCTTAACTGTGAAATCTACACGGGGTGGAATACCTCGGTTATAACCACTAACGGTTTATCTCGGCCTTGGCTTAACACTTGAAAAGATTATAAAAAATATTTTCACAAGTGTTATTTATAACTTGCCACTTCACTCTTACTTATCAAGACCTCTGTCTTCCATTATCTCAAAGCTGGGCAATCTGGTCATCTTGGCAAGTACGTAGATAACCTTGGCTTAACTTCAACTTGTAAATTTTTTTTAAAATTTCAACAAGTGTTAAACCAATTTTCTCTTGTAAATTCCAACTTCCAAGTATTATTCTCCAGCTCTCTGCCCCCTAATGCGAGCTTAAGTTTCACTTATGTTCACATTAAGCATGTAAGTATGATCTTGTTGCCGAGATCAAATTCAAACAGAGATTGGCCGAGGTTATCAACCTTGGTCTCTGTTAATCTAACTGATATGTATTTAGTGTCATTCAAAGTTTTCATTATGTCGACTAGGGGTGAAATCGGTTCAGTTCGGTCGGTTTTTTCACTAGTTTTGCATCGAACCGGTAATTTCGGTTTTGCATATTTGTGAATCGAACCGCCCAGAAAAATGACATAAACCGGCGCGGTACGGTTTATTACGGTGCGGTGCGGTTTTTTCAATTTTTTTGGTCTTTTTTTTTTTTTTTTGCTGGTTGGGCCTCACATTTTGGGCCTATATTTCTATCCATTTTGCATAAAATTTGGGCCTCAGGCCATGTAATTCCTGCATAGGTTTGGAGCCTCACATTTTGGGCCTGTATTTTTATCCATTTGCATAAAATTTGGGCCTCAAGCCATGTAATTCCTGCATAGGTTTGGGCCTATATTTTTATCCATTTGCATAAAATTTGGGCCTAAAGCCATGTAATTCTTGCATAAGTTTGGGGCCTCACATTTTGGGCCTGCCCTGTTATTAACATATACCAACAAAAAATGAAAAATAACATATATCAAACCATAAAGTCTAAGCCTTGTATCCAAGTCTAAGTCTAAGCCATCAACCAACCATATATCCAATCCAACCATAAAACTATGTGTCTAAATCTAAGCCTTAATATATATTACAGACCATTAATATAATCAATCTCAAAACTCAAAAACATAAAATAGAAACCATCTAAGGCAAGCAGCAGCAACATGAACCTTCTAACTAAGCAAGCAAAAGAGACCTGTAAAAAAAATAAAATTATTATCAACATAATTCAATTTAACATTAAAAAAAATTACATCAACTATTCAATTTCTTACCCTTGCTTTCAAGCATCAATCAATAGCAGTTACATCCTTATTGCTTGTTCCTTCTATAAGTACTAAAAAAAGATCCAATGCACAACAGGTTAAAGTGTTAAACATATAATTTTCATTAAAAAAAAAGAAGAAAAGAAAATAAGAAATACTTGTGACTTAAGAAAAAAAATACCTGAATCAAGCTCCTCCAATTCTTCCAATTGATCTGTAAGACTAATTTGAGATGGGGAACGAAACCAATTTTGCGCACAGATGAGAGCTTCTACCATAGAGGGTGATAGAGAGCTGCGAAATGGATCAAGAACACGTCCTCCCGTGCTAAAAGCAGATTCTAAGGCGACTGTGGACACGGGGATAGCTAGAACATCACGAGCCATATGAGAGAGGATGCGATACTTAGTGGAATTAGTCTTCCACCAACCCAATACATCAAAATTATCATCATCTTCTTCACAACCCTCCACCAAATACCTCTCCAATTCGGACTTGTTAACCATATGATTTTCTTCTTCCAAATGCATCTTAAACTTGGATTTCATTGTTGTTCGGACATCCGTGTCATGATCTTTATCCAAATTCATTTCCCTTGATGGCTACCCCATATTTTGTGGTTGCATACTTTCATTTTGAACATTCAAAACATACCACTCATATAACCTTGTCAATCCTCTCTTTAGTTTGTTTACCAAACCATCAACATGTTGAGTTTCATAAGTTTCTTCCAAGCACCATTGCACATATTTAAGTTTGTAATGAGGATCAACAACAATAGTAACAAACAATAGCAAATTGATCTTGTCAAACTTACCCCAATACTTGTCAAACTTTGAACTCATGCCATGTGCCAATAATTTCAAACTTAGATCATCATGCTCACACAATTCGGTTATTGCACTTTTTATCAACATTATCTCCGGAAAAAATGCATTGCAAGTAACATACAAAGAACCCGAAAAACGCAATGTGGCATTGTAAAACAATTTTAAAAACTTGACATGCAACCTCGCTTTCATCCAATCATAACTTGTCGGTGGCCCAATTGCTTTTCTTCTCTCTTTTCTTTTTCCACTATTAGTTGGACCAACTCTAAATCCCTCACCAAGTTCACCCTTCTCACCAATCTCACCACCAACTTCACCTTCCTCACTATTTTCACCAACCTCACCAATCTCATCCTCTTTAAGAGTCAACCGGAAGTGTGTGTCCTCATCTTCTAACCATTCAAAAGCCTTTTGAAATGGTAAAGCCCACTCTAACATGAAATATGTAGAGTTCCATCGGGTAGCTAAAACCAAACAAGGTTGACCATGACACTCAATGCCCTCCGTTTCAGTACACGATTTGAATTTAGCCATCCTAGATGGAGAGGATCTCACATACTTCACAATATTCCGAATCCTTGTTATGGAGTCATCAATTTCTTTCAATCCCTCACAAACAATTAGATTCAATATGTGAGCACAACACCTCACATGTAAAAACTCATGCTCTAATATGGTACTCTTCCTAGTTTTCCTCTTTCGCTTCAAAAAATTAATGAGACCATTATTTGAGCTTGCGTTATCAACTATAACTATGAGAAACTTATCTATCCCCCATTCTACCAAACATTGCTCAATTACCTTACCAAGTGTCTCACCTTTATGGTTAGGAACTACACAAAAGTTAAGAATTTTTTTGTGAAGTTTCCAATCACAATCAATAAAATGTGTGGTGAGACACATATAATTCAGATTTTGCATGGATGTCTAAGTGTCTGTGGTAAGGCATAGTCGTTGATCTCTAAGTGCATTCTTTAAAACCTTCTTCTCACTAAAATATAGTGACATACAATCCTTGGCAACGATAATCCTAGAGGGGATTTTTAACCATTTTGGTTACACCACACGCATGAATTGTCTAAATCCCTCACCCTCCACAAATTTAAAAGACAGTTCATCTATTATTATCATCTTTGCTAGGGCCTTTCTACATGCATCAACACTGAAGCTTACAGCTACAAGATTACCACTTGTTTCTCTATCACCATCCTTTTTTGGTTTAAAACCTAGGGTACTTTGCTTTGCATCTTCCCTTAAAGGATACTTCTTACACCTTGATTCTATATGAGTTAGCATTGATTTTGTCCCATTAATCTTCGGATCACATGCATAAGTTACACCACAATAATTACAAGAGGCCCTAGGTCTTTTACCAGATTCACAATCCAATTTCGTAAAAAGATCCCAAACCAAAGACCGTAGTCTTTTACCCACATTATCAGATTTATTTTTTGTGCTTGTTTCCTTAGCTTCTTGTACCGTAGGTTCTTCAGTTTCATTGGGCACTTCAAGCATATTTTCATCCATCTAAACATAATAACAACAAGAATTTGCAAACCATTATATTTATATATATATATATATATATTATTTCTTTATATATCATAAGCACAACAATTAAAAAAATGAATGTTTCACAACTATGATGCTATTTCTATTGATAGTCAATACCAAATCATTAACACACAGAATCCAAATACAAAAAAAAAAAAAAAATACAACAAATTAATAACAAGAAACAGAAAGGGATTCTCCAAATACAAAAAAATAAATAAATAACAACGTTACATGTAGCACACAGCCCTCAAATTACTACTAATAACAAGAAACAAAGAAACTCCTTTAGGGCACAATTAATAAAAGGGATTTCAAAAATTAGGGCACAATCAATAAAAGGGTTTTTGAAAATCACCTTAGGGTTTTGATTAAGCTTCTGCTTGTTGATTTTGCTACAAACCCACCAAGATCTTCATCGTCTGCTTCATTGATGAGTGAAGGAAGTGCGAAGAGAGAGTGACGGTCAGTGTCTCTCGTTCGAAACAGAGAGCTCTCGTTTGATTCTAGAGAGAGAGAGAGAGTGATGGCGAGAGAGGGTCGTGAGAGAGAGAGTGACAGTCTGAGTAAAATGGAGAAAAAATGGAGAAACTGAGAGAGCTTCTTCTCAGGAAGAAAACGAAGAGACGAAGAGAGAAAAAAAATCTATGGTGTGTGGTGTGTGGTGGGTTGGTGAACCGTGTATGTGTGGTGTGTGTTTTTCTTTCTTTTTTTTTAACATAGTGAGACACGCAGACAAATTAGATGATGCAACGTGGATGGCTAGGATTTTAAGACTATTAATATTATATAAGTTGGTTCGGTTCGGTGCGGTTCGGTTCAAAAAATCATAAACCATAAACCGAACCGAATGTACAGAAAAAAATAAACTGAACCAAACCGACCGATTGAAAACTTAAAACACCGACCGAAAACCGGTCGGTTCGGTCAGTTCGGTCGATCCTTCTGGTTATTCTTTCACCCCTACTGTCGACACAGCAAATCTAGGTTAATTCAACTTAGTTTAACTTGTTTATATGTCGCTAAGTGACTGGTCAATCCTTTTACATAAGTTTGAAATAAAAAATCGAGCTAAAATTTTATTAATTACTTTGTCTAATAATAGAAAATCTTAAAAACAAAAGGAAATA